ATTGCCAAGTGAGATATTAGAGAGTTTTTCTTTTTCATGGAATGACAAATCCATTCAACAGAAATGAGTTAAAGAGCCACTTTATTGCAGCAATAACATTAAGTGTGTGTGTGTGTGCGTGTGTGTGTGTGTGTGTGTGTGTGTGCTTTTTCTCAGGCCCATCATAAAACTGTAAATAGTCTTGCACAAATTAATTTTGCTTGAGACTTATTGCAGTAAGTATAAATTTCTCATCTGAGTGAGTCAGAGAGAAAATACTTGAAGGACATGCTGTATATTGCCTGTAATGTTAAATAAAGCTCAGTGGAATGGTTACGGTGACAATTCAATGTGACGCCAGGCCTCTGCACTCTAGAGACTCTATCATGCCATCTAAACTTGCTGCTGAATGTCTTACATTAATGGTGGAAAAAATGTATCATATGCTCCCTCTTGGTGTGTATGAGCTGTGTTTAGAACATTTAATGCAGTTGGTCAGTGATGAGCAAATGTTTGAACCGATGAGTCTTTCTTGGTGATATTGTACCATTTAATATGACAGTGAAGCAGCTGTTCCATCCATTTATATTTTCCCTCTTGGCTACACAGGGCAGGAAGATAGTTATTGTAAATCTACTGAGAAAATGGAGAAATAGAGATATGGTATTTGCTTTATTCAACATCACTAAAGTTAGTCTGACCCTTGAAACAAGACTAAATATCTACAGCAATACTAGCAGCTTTTTTGAGCTGGAGGCACAGTGATGCAAATGCTAACATCAGTATGCTAACATGCTAATGTTTGGCAGGCATATTGTCACCATAGCCCTTTTCCAGCAGAGTATGTAACCAAGTTCATTTAACTTGTACAATTTTGAGGTACTTGTGATTGAATGTTTTCATTTTATGCCACTTTATACTTAGATGAAACTGTGAACCATATACAAATTTCTTAAAATGAACTGTAGGCTGTCAGTCAGCTTCAAACATGCTTCTTTGTTATTCAATATAATAATATAATGCTGACATAGGCCTTTTTTTTTCATAAGTTCTTTTACTTTCGAAAGCCAGACTAAAAGTCAACACGCCTATTCAGATTCAGCAGAAACACAAACTTAAAGTAACTACTTTCAGTAAACCTTTAAGTAAATCTTACTTTACATTGTTACATTACCGTCAGAGGGTGAATGCAGAACTCTGTGTAGACATCAGTGTATGTCTGTTTGGACATCCTTGCGTGGACATCCTCGGACGTTGGAGTTTAGCTACAAGGACAAATCTGCACAGGCACTATGCAACAAGGTCACTGCTGACAGTCCAAGTGGACTCCAGGAAACTAGAAAGTTGTGTAATAAAAACAACTATTCATCCATTTGTTCCAAGTGCAGTGTTTGCAAGGGAGTATAATTGAGGCCTTAGTGAGTTATTAACACTACTGAGAGTTGTGATGCTTCCATTTATATGTCACTCAGTTTGACAATAACCAGAATAAGCAGAAGGTAAAAGCTTTTGTCAGGGACTTAGAGTGAAGGGACCAATTCCTATCAAACTCGCAAAAATACCAGTAGAAAGTGTTTGGTCGTGCATTTTTCACCTGCACTATTTTTGCACATTAAGGTTTGTTTTTCCATCGAATGTTAAGAGACATGTTGATTAGGAAAATCAAACTGATGAAAGATCAAAAACAACATCTAGTTTAGCTTAGTGTGCTAACATGCTAATTAGCAGTAAGCACAGAGTATATCTGAGGCTTGATCCTGGACAAATTAAAATAAAAAATTAAAATTCAGGAGATCGCCAAAGTGTTAAGCGTTCATCATCTGCGACCATGGACATCTTTTCAAAATTTGATGTAATACCTCCAATGGTTATTGTGATATTTCAGTCAAGACCAAAGTGGTGCACCAACAGACAAACTGTTCAGACACAACCAACCGACATTTCCATCCCTCGTGGCTTAAACGCACAGCCACCAAGGGAGCACAGTACTTTCCTTTGAGCTGAGGCTTTGGAACATCGTACCACCATTCAGTCTGGATTTAATAAAGGCAAGCCAACATGTTGTGAGATATGAATGCCACAGCAGTATTTGGCGATGGCCTTTGGTGATACAGATAGCCCAGTACGGAAATGTCACCCAGTTAACATGCTCTGTGTGACTAAACAGATAAGACAAACAGGAAATGGCTTTTTATCCGCCTGCCATGCTATCTCAATTATGATTTGATTTCATGTAGGCCTACATGAAGTAAAGCCTCCCTCGGTGTGCATCAATGCCTTGGTGTGGTGTGATTTTTTTTTTTAAAGAAATCAATTTTCAGGGTTTGAGATCAAACAGAGTAGCATCACTTGGTAAAGAGCTGAGACTGGACAGGGAGGAAGGGAAAGGGAAAGGGAGGCATCTGAGAAACATCAAAATAAAAGGTCATTATGTGCACTCAGACTGCGCTCTGCTCTCCATTTTTAGTGGCTGTCCCATCCTATATCTGTTGTTTGGGAAAGGTGCCCTATAACTACAGATGAAATGCACTATGTGAGTATCTGCTGAATGTCAGGGCTGAGGGGGGAGAAGCTACACCTTAAAAATGACTGCTGCCTCCAGACATGGCACAAATGGCAAAGATGGTGTCAAGGTGACCTGGCAATGGAGGAACGGCTCTGTGTGTCCCTGCGCACCAAGAGTGTGAAGATGTTTCATGTGGCTTGAGGGCAGATGCTGTTTATAAGCAATATCTGATTAGAATAGCAAAGTAAAGCAATAAAGAACACTTTCTTCTCATTCTGTGGGTGCTAAAGGACACAGTAATATCATGTTAATCCCAAACCAACAGAACTGCAATGCTCTTTTCATTAACTTTAGCAGTTTCGCCCACAGGCATCATCACAGAATTATAGATATGAAGAATATTATGACAGTATTTTAGGATTTACACTGGCATCAAAGCTGATTACATTAAGGTCACTGTAAATATAATAGAACATCAAGCACACTTTAAATCCCTGAAAGGATTTTGCTGGAATATTATAGACTTTTTTCATCAGGAATGTTGCAAGAAAATAGAAGGAATATGTACTTCAAAAGAAAGCAATCATATGCAAGCACTGCAGGACATATCTGACAATCTCAGGGTGCAATCACTGTTGGAATCAGTGGGTTTGATTTGGAGCTTTGTCAGAAATGTGTAAAGCCCTGAACCCTGCTCTGGGAAGCCAAAGGACAAACTACAAATACCAACCTTTAGACAGGCAGTCAAAGACATCATGCCTCATCAGATGTTTTTTTTTTATTTTTATTTTTTACTATGGTGAATCTTGTTATAAACCTTTGATCAGGACAGACAGCAAGATACTTGTGTGTTTTGTTCACTGCTGTTCAGACTGACAGGCCACATAGAAGTCAAGGGCTGAGTGACTGTTGTTTGTTTGAATGGCATCCACAAACTGTAGAGGGAAGCTACAGTTGTCTGATTAGGCCATCCTTCTCTCAGTCCTAATTATGTGGAGCTGGAACAGAAGCAAGAGGCTGAGATGGCCCTGCGTCATTAGCTTTAATCAACCCTGGATACCCTGATACAAAAACAGTATACACTGTACACACACACACACACACACACACACACACACACGGCCTGACAGAGAGTCAATACCTGACATTCATCATTTTGGTCCAGCCAGACTTTTTAATTACTGTAATGAATTCCCTACATGGCTCCAGTCACCAGTCACCTGCTATCTAGGTTTATTGTTGAGCTTTGTCTAGACACCATTTAATGGACAAATTGTCAAAATAGTTGTTTGGTGAATATTAAAGTTTAGGACAAATACATATCTCGTAATTCTGAATAAGAACGAACGTTTCTGATGTCATGGATTGCTTCAAACTTGAATCTTTTCCTAAAATCATTAAGCCTGATTATTCAATGTCTCTCTGGTGTCTGAAATGTGCAAGATGATTACAATTCGCACTGTGTGGAAGTCCATGTGAGTGATGCCGAATATCATCAGTGTGGGCATCACAGTCTCTGAATGATGCAAACCAGTTCTCTTTGGCGTGCCACACATGTATGACTGCATAATAAAATGGCAATCTGCATATATTATTTGTCTGGCAAGCAGATGCCCTGCCCACCATAAATGTGTTATTATACATGATGAGAGTTTGATTGGCTGTTCTAAGAGGAGCAAGGGGACATGCAATCACACCCCCAATTTCTGATGATCTTCATCTATTTGGTTAAATCAAGATGCAGTTTACATCGCAAACACCATATGTTTAGTCATGTTTCCTTTGAATGCATGAGATATTTAAACACAGTCTGATGTGGAACGATGTGGAATATGGGATGGGTTTGTAGGATACAGCGACCCCTGCAGACCAATAAATGTAATACTACAATCCTGGATGCACCTTACAGAAAGACAGAGAGAGAGACTGCTGGTTAAAAAAGTAACTAACTAACTAACTAACTACCTAACTAACTAACTAACTAAATAAATAAATGAATAAAACAAAAAAAACAAAAAAGAAAATATACCCTAACAGAGAGCAACAGTAACAACAACAACAACAACAGCAATGACAATACTACTTCTACTATTACTATACTAATAATGATATTATTGTTATGATTATTAATAATCATAACAACAACAACAACAACAACAACAATAATAATATTATTATTATTATTATTATTATTATTATTATTATTATTATTATTATTATTATTATTATTATTATAAGAATAAGAATGTCATTATGTAGTCAACAACCGCCAAAAAGCAGTTTAGTTTTGGCATTATAACGTAACATAATGTGTTTTGCAAGTGACATTTCAGACTTCAGTGGCAAACACTAATTGAACAATGAGTTATGAAATTAAGTGCGACCGTGGATTTTTACTTTATTTTATTTTATTTATGATAAATAATTACGATGAAAAGACAAATGAGAAAGTACACACACCTCGTACGCGTATGGTTAGGTTTGTCTCCTGTCGGCTTCTGTACCTCCACCAGGAAGTTGCTACTATTCAATTCATTCTGTGCAGTTAATGCATGTAGTATTACAGCACTTGATAATTACTTTATTTCAAAATGCGTCGGAGAACGGAAGCTCAAGCATCAAGCAATGAACCTGTTAATGCTGATAAAAAGGTAATGCAACGATTACGCTTTCCAGCTGCTAATAACTAGCCTACATGTGACAGCTCTGTTAGCTAGCTTCAGCTGACTGACTTCAAAAGCTAACCTGTTAAACTGTCTTTGTTCAAATCACCAATGTATGTCTGCTGCTGACGTGTTCCTGCTCTCATACTGATCTTACAACACTGACGTTGTGTGAAGCAGTAAACAGTGTCAGCCAGCGTCTCTCAATTTTGTACAGAGAGAAGAGGAGCCAAATTTCCTTTAAGAAGAGCAAGTTTAATTACTTGTTACTTATTCACAGCTTATCCACTTTAAGCCTTATCGTATTTCACTACTCTAACAAATCATTAGCTTCAGTTCTTTAATTCAGCATACATCCAGGACAATAACATAACAACACTTCTCATAATAATAGCATCATTTGTTGTTTCCTATCTGAGAGGGTCATATCTTCTACTGCAATACACGATGGTTAACCCTGATGATTAACTTTTGGGGGTTTTGATAATAATCGAGTATTATTGTAGGGCATGGAATTACAAATGAAAACTATAAAACGATAACACAAATGTTTGATAAAGGTATACATGGATCAGTACTGTGCAAAAGTTTTAGGCACTAAAAGCAAAGTGAGGTTGCTTTCCAAACCAGTAGCAGAATAGTTTTTATTTATCATTTAACCTCATGCAAAGTGCAGTAAGCATAAAAAACCTAAGTCAATTCAATATGTGGTGTTGTTACCCTTTGCCTTTAAAACATCACTAATTCTAGGTACACTAGGTACACTTCTGTATGACTCTGGCTGTGTGTCTGGGGTGGTTGTTATGCTGCAGAATGATTTTGGGACTGATCAGACGCCTTGTTGATGGTATTGCAAGTCGAATAGGAATCTCAAAGGAATCTTAAGTCCTTAAAACGCTTGCACAGTGTATGTGAAATGTAGACAATATACTACAGTAGCACATATTTTCAACTCTAGGATGCTGAAATGAGGTTAATGTGTGAATTAACATCCCTTTTTTTTCTACTTAAACCAGGATCCAGATCAGAGACTTCACAGCCAGGCTGGAGCTAAAGGCAGAGTGTCTTATGGTTCTGTGCTCATAAACATTGGGAAGTGTTTACTTTTAATCATCATCATCCCTCCATTCCTCAACTATGCATCGCTTCAGAGAGAAGGACAGATGCTGTTGCCCAAAGGTTCTCTTTTCTAAGTCTAACAAAGTCATTGTTTCTTTAAGTTTAGGTTTCAGGTTTTCATATATTTACTCAGTATGTTAATTAAACACCCCCTCTGCTTGGAGTTTGTCAGCAGGTTTGTGAAGCTCTTCAAGCCAAATGAGAAAAATATTCAGTGAAGTCTTTGTCTCTTTTCTTTTCCCTCTTATATTCAGATGGCCAGGTTGTTGATGTTAGTTTGGGTCAAAAGATGCATCTTTTGTGTAAAGGAAAAGGAAAACCAGTTGGTAAGAAAACATTTTCTTTGAATCTGCCATGAACAGTTTTCATGTGGCTTGTTTGTGTCTTTTCCACTGAGCTCAGCCTAACCAGTTGTTTTCTTGTTTAGTTGTACTGGATGCACCGACTGGAATGTCCTCAGATATTTGGTTTCATGTCCAAGAAAGTGTGGCCACACTAACAAAGGTGGGGAAATGATGCAATTACTGTGGATTGTGTTGAATGTCTGTATTTACCAAAATATTTAGCTTTTTTGGTCTTCTGTTGAAATAAATTTGCTCAACAGAACTGAAATAAATATCTCAGATGAATCACATTCCTAAGACACACTGAGAGTGAGTTGCTGCTATTGGTTTGCCTTTGAAAATAAAATCCTCTACGGGAAACTTTCTGGTGGAATCCACTACTAATAATGCAGCCATTGTATTTGTTGTCAGGGCCATGTAAGGACAGACCTTGCCGTGGCTTTGCCACATCGTCTCTGCTCAACAAGGACTCAGCACAGCAGAAAGTCGGGGCTGACAGCCTGCCCCATGTTGTTTGTCTGAAATATGACCCAAATGAGGTCACTGGCTTGTTGGGGAAAGACCTAGATCTATCTGAACGACTGCATCACAACAGCAGTTACGAAAACAAACTTGCTCTGTCTACACCTGCATATGTATCTTTTTCAGTGTTATGCAACCATCATGTATTTAATATGCCTGTGCAGGATAGGGAGGGGCAGGGTCCGTGTGCATGTAGAACACAGTGTTATTTAAAAAACCTTCTAGACCTTTGCTGTCCCTGTTTGTCACACTGCTCAGGTTTGCACCTATGACAGAATGGGACTGGGCTTCAGCAAGCGGCTGATGCAGAATGAAACCACAGGAACTGAGAGAGTTTGGGGGATGTCAACAACTGGACGGTGAGAACACTACTGTAATTGGCAGTCTTCCTGAGTCCTTGGGACAAATGAAATGTAGGATAACACTTTCTTCAGTCACGATACACAAAGTCTACATTGTAAACATAATGCCAGCGTCGGTTTAACATCAGCTCTTTCATTGCCGTGAACTGGTTTTTAAATGAGTGAGTGGCCTCTTTATTTGTTCTTGCTGAATTTGTAAAATCAGTTAGTGGAAATTTTAAACGAGATAAGGACCAAATGTACAGGACTGTGGAGTGCGGTGCAGGTGAATAGTCAGGATCTGATAAGTGCTGTTTGTGGGAGCATTCTTCATGTGGAACAGGCCTGCACTAATGGCACATCCTCTGTTTCTATGGTGACCCACTGTACGGCTTGTGTCAGTTCCAGGACACTGTAGCTTAAGGCTATAGGAGGGAAAACGGTCAGAGACTGTGCCAGGGTTGTGTGTAGGAGGAGAAGCAGCAAATCACATCCCTCAGGCCAAGGATGGTGTCTCCTGCGTGCTTGCATGTGTGTCCATTGTCGAGTCAACAATGTCAGAAAATAGTTAAAAATGCCCCATCAGAATCCAAAAAGATGTCTTCATGTAGCTTGTTTTCTCTGACCAACAGTCTGTAACCCAAAGATATTTAGTTTACACAGATCTAGAATAGAGAAAAAGCTGCACATGCTCAGAAGCACATTTGAGAAGCTGGAACAACCGATTTTTCATGAATTTTTCAGCCGGCAAAGACTCGTGTACATGGACACCCTATGTATTGTCTTTCTCTGCTGAGCACACCCTTGCCCTGCCCTGCCCTGCCCCGCCCCGCCCCGCATCACACTGCTGTGGGATTGGGCTGTAATCTTCCTGCCTCTGACATGGTAACCTTAAATCTGGGGAGGGATGAGCAGGTGTGGCTCGCCGACAGTCAGCAGTCTAGTTTACCTTGGCATCTGGCCCAGAAAGCACCCATTTGAGATGCAAGCAATCAATTTCCCAGAATTCAATATCTCAAGGAGTTTGATGACTGCCTACCCTTAAGTCTCGTGAAATCTGTTCTTTTCAGCGTGGCACCACAGTTTTGATTTATTAGCACAACAAACCCAGGACGACAGATGGCTCTCGGAGAGGAGCTGCTGCATCTCATGTAATGATGAAGCTCCCTCCGATGGTATAAGTTTGCTGGTGATTGTTTGTCCTGTGGTGTCTTGCGATGGAGAGGAGCCAGCCCCCCCCCCCCCTCCCCGCAGTACTGTTTGTTTAAATAGAGAACTGAAAATATTCCTTACTGTAAGTTTGAGCAGTTGTTCACATTCTTCATTGTAATTTTAGGATAGAAAACTTCTTTTTTTTAACCTTCCTCCTTTGTTTGTAGGTCATTTTTGCAAGTCTATAATGACTCTTCAGTGGGTTCTTAATAAATCTGTTAATGAGCAGACCACAGATTAAAGAGATTAATGATGGCCTGTCATATTCATCTTTCATGTTGGGAGTCCTAATCCCACCTAGCTGAATAAATAAACCTCCTGGCCCAGTTTGCACAGTGTCCTGGTTTTTGTGCACAGACAGATGAGTGTTGTTGTCTTCCAGGATGGTGGATGATCTGCACCGACTCCTGCAGGCTGCCGGGTTAGCCCCGCCCTTCATCCTGGTGGGCTCCGAGCTGGGCGCGCTCAACGGCCGGTTCTACAGCCACATTCACGACGTGTAAGTATTGTACAACGGAAATGATTAAAGGGGAACTCAACCGATTTTACACATAAAAGTCAGTTTGCTCGTTGTGAACTGTTGTGGCCTAAGAGGAGCTTTGTCAGGTTTGAGGGAGATGACGCTGATGATGTCATCAGGGTTGTCTTGGCTTGGGTTTAGACCCATTAATTTTTAACAGAAAGTCTGTCTCAAAAACTAGAGCCATAGAATTACAGACAGGGGTATTTATCAGGCAAAGAGGGTTGAACTAAAAGATATTATTGGTTGCATTATGGGAAATGTAGGAGACTGTGTTTTTGGAGCTTGACCCATGCTAGGGACTGCAAATCTTGGTCTCACCTACTTTAATTTTGAGCAGTTCTTTTTTCATCTTTCTCTTATGAGCCCCCCCTGCCAAGCTTTATAAAAAGTTCAGTAATAACTTTCTGTAATTCCAGTTTAATAAAAAAGTGAAATGAATTCAGTGTATAATATAATTTGGAGGCAGATTTATGCAAAATTCCAACTATAAAACGTCTTATTGATAATAATTCACTCTTCAGACAACTATGATGCATTAGTTCATCCAAAAAGACTGCAATCATTTATAAGCATGCAGGAGAATATTGAAACGAGAAGCATGGCCACAAGACGAGAAGACGTGCGTGCAAGGACAGACTGGTGAGATAACACAACAACAACAACAACAACAACAACAACAACAACAACAACATAACATAGGTGACAGCCGACATACATACACACTACAGACAATCTGAGGCATGGAACAAATATTTCTAAATAAATAGTTTATGTCCATGTGTTGAGATTCAGCTTTAATGAAGAATGCACCTCATATTATATAATACCTAATACCCAGTCGGGATGATATATGTATGTATATGTTGTTTTTTTTGTTTGTTTTTTTACCATTCACTTGAATGGGGAGGTACAGTATGTCCGGGCTTTTGACTGGTACTGTTTGTGTGTTTTTTTTTTCACTTCTTCTTTTCTCTCTCTCTCTTTATCTCTCCCCCTCAATATGTCAAAATATGAGTCTATAACAATAACAAAAAGCTGGCTGTTGTTTTGTCCTATTGTATGCCATAATGCTGTTATGTTATGTCATGTTATGTTATGTTGTCATGTTATGTTATCACTTTCTGTGTCTTTGTCTTGCTTCACCAAATTAAAAAAACGAAAAAACAGACTGACTAAAAGTAAAGTTAGAAGAGGCTGGCATATATTTTTATTACTGTCGACAAGTCCCATGAGAGGATCAAAACCAACAATGTGTTATTGTCTCTCAATACTTTCTGACCTCCCTACCCTGTCCGTGGCTCTCGGCCTCAAGCTCAGTGGTTCCTGCTGAAGACAAAAATCTTTAAAAACAGCTCAAAACAGTGACTGAATAAACCTCAGTGTGTCAACCACTGCAACAATGTGACTTAATTATGTGTTTTTTATTTATATTTTTTGACAAAATTGGAGGTCTGAACACACATTGAACCAGACTCCTTACAAGGTCTGAGAAATCTTTGATAAAATCTGAAGCTGACTACATTTAAAATAGCTTTGTAGCATATGGAATGAAGTGACTCTCAAACTCACACTTAACAAAATATACTCCAGTGTCCATTCCCATCATCCCTCATAACTCAGCCGTCGCAGAGACAACACAGTGATTAATGTGACAAGTAGGCTGTACCAGGAATGAAAGATTTAGTATTTAATCAGGCGCGATGTTGCTGCCGTTAGGGGAGAGAATTAAGTAGCGGTGAGTGGATGACACCTTTCCAAATGGAAATATTGCCCCTGGATCTGATGTACGTGTGGTTAACTGTCTGTGGGGACGGAGGAGAGACAAATCTACAGGAAGACAGACGGGATGACGCCATCCATCTCCCACTCATTAAGGCCCGGGCCGAGAGGTTAAAGTGGACAAGGGGTAGTCAGTGAGTCTTACCTCATCTGAGTGTATTTGTGTGTGTCCTCTCATTGTCCTCAGGCAAGTGTCTGACCTGGTGCTGATCGATCCCATCCCAGAGGACGTGTTTGAGGACGACCAGTGGAACGAGTACTGGTGAGTGTACAGCAGGATTCAGGGGCGGAGGAAGGACAGAGGTGGGGGTAAAAAAGGAAGGGGAGGGGGGGTGGCAGAGGATGAAAGGAAAGAAGAGAGAAGATGGAAAGATGTTGAAGAAGCAAACACTAAAGAGGGATGTGAAAAACTCGACTGGAAGAGAGGAGCAAGGAAATGAGTGAGGAGGACGATAAAGAGCTCTGAAGGGCGGAGAGGAGCAGATAAACAGCCAGAGGCAGGGAAGAGGAGAAGAAATAAGGAAATGTATCAAGAACAAAAAAAAGAGGATTAGGATGAGGAGAAGGGAGGAACAGATGCGAGCATGTTTCAAACTTTTCCCTTATAGGCTTTTATGGTGAGAATAGCTGATTATCTTTGCTGGGTGGGGCTCATTAGCTTGATTAATTGGAGGCCTAAGAAACTCATTAGCTGTAGCTGATCACACTCTTAACATGAAGCAGATGAGGGGAAGGCGAGGGTTGTGGCGGTTGTCGGGACTGACTGACAGAAAGTGTTACAACACCGCTTTAATCCTCCAGGCGAGATATATGTCAAGTGATAGTCATTGTCACAGCATATATCTCATTATGCATTAATTATCATACAGAGGGGAAGGTTGTTATTAATGATAACCCAGAGAGTGGAGGAGGAATGTTGGTAGAAGTGTCAATTACATAACACTACCTCAGACTGTTTACAAGTAAAGCATGTCATGTGTCATCATTAAAAGGTATTTCCCCCGCAGAAGAGACAATAATTAAACAGTTATGTAATTGAGAAAAACCACGCTAAGCTCTTAGTTGTAGCTGACAGCCGAGCGGTGACGGCTACATCATAAACAAATCTCTGTGGTGTGTTTTCTGTTGGTGACGAAGCGGCTGAAAGAGTTTTTTCCCGCTTAAAACACAATAGATATTCCTCTTGCAAAACAGCAGTATCTGTCATTTGCTGTAAATAATTACACAAACAATTTTGGACAAAAGAATGAATAAAAAAAAAAAATTAAAAAAAAAAACAGTCAGAAAACCAAAAATGACAATTACCCTCAATAATCCAGTGCAGTAAATAAGATTATACTTTAACATCAGCAGTTATGATGGAGGTTATGTTTTCGTCTGTGTTTGTTTATTTGTCTGCAGGATTACGCACAAAATACTAAACCAATTTGCACCAAACTTAGTAAAGGGACGGGGCATGGGCCAGGGAAGAACCCATTAAATTTAAGTACAAATCCGGTTAAAGGGGCAAATCCAGGAATTATTTTAACACTTTTCCTCAATATTGTGTGCCATTCTAGTATTGTCATTGTGAACATATTAACACAGCAATATTAGCATTTAGCTCAAAGTACTGTGCTTCCTAAGTGCAGCCTCACAGACATACATTTAGGAATTAGTTTTTGATCTTATTGCATGATTTATTTGTTTAAATCTACCAAGTCCATGAATTGTAGAGTTTTAATACAGTGTGGCTTCAGAAAGTATTCAGACCCCTTCCCTTCACTTTATTATGTTGTAGATTTAATTGTAAATGATAAAATTGCCATTTGTTCTTGTTAATCTATACTCAGTAATACATAATGACGAAGTGAAAACATTATTTTGAAAGTTTTGTTAATTTATAAAAAAAAAAAAAAATTGAAATCTCTCATACCTCTGCCAAGGAGGTAATGAAGTTTTCGCCCGTATGTGTTTATTTGTCAGCCGGTTTATGTAAAAAGCACTGAACTGATTTGGACCATACTCGGTGGAGGGATGGGGCATGGGCCCGGAGAGAGTTTTGGGGCAGATCATTTACTATGAATTTTTTCCCTTCTGAAGTCTGGTGTATGTTGTTAGACATTGGCCTCGGCGGAGGTGTTCCCTCTTTGAGCGCCCTTCTAGTTGGTTTGTGTCTTTCTTTGTCAGCAGGATTACGCAAAAAGTACTGAACCAATTTGCACAGAACTCGGTGCAGGGTTGGAACCGGGGAAGAACCCATTAAATTTTGGTGTGGATCTGTGAAAGCTAGATGGACGTGTAGGATTGTTTGGCCTTGGTTGGAGGTATGCGCTCTACTGATTGCTATTCTAGTTTACTTAAGTATTCAGACTTTTATCTGTTGCACTCTAAATTATGGTCAGGTGCATCCTGATTGTTTTAATTATCCTTCCAATCTTTCAGGAACTTGATTTGAGTCAACCTGTGGTAGACTGGATTGATTGATGAATGCAACCTGAAACTAGGGCAACAGTTCACCTGATGAACTGACTTGAGTTTCCCTGATGACAAGTCTTGAGTTTCCCAGCCAAAGCCCAGACTTAGACTCCGTAGAACATCTGCGGAGAGACCTGAGGGTGGCAGTTCAGATGCTTCCCATCCAATCTCATGGAGTTAAGAGGATCTGCAGGAAGAACGGGATAAACTGCCCAAATCCTGGTGTGCATAGCCTATAGAGATTTACCTAGGAAGACTTGAAGCTGTAATTGATGCCAAAGGGGCTTCTACTGCATTAAGGGTCTGAGTACTTTTATAATGAGAGATTTTTTTCTTTCTTTTTTTTTTTTTTTTTTTTAAATAAGTTTACAGTAACATGTTTTCACTTTGTCATTAGGGGTTAATGAGTGAAAATTGATGGGCAATCTCCATTTAAAAACACCATTACGTGAAGCGGTCTGAATACTTTCTTCAGTCACTGTAATTAGTTAAAATCAAACCAACAGAATTGAAACTCTAGACGTTTCACACTCTCCAAAAGTTATTTTGAATTTGTCCCACAACAAATTACATTAGCATCATCTGCAAATGAAATAAATTTCATATCATTCATGTGCAAACTAAACTAAAATGGGCCTAACAAAGGAGTGTACAACCCCTCTAATACTATATGTTCCTGCTTTTTTCTATCGTAAGCCGCTGTCATAGTAGAGTTCAATCAAAGCCAGTGAGCTGGTTCTACTAGCTGAAAAGTATTTCATTTTGTGGTGATTTAGAATCGCCACCAAGGAGTTAATATGTTCTCTGATATAACAGGAAAATGATGTGGTAAAATCAAGTTATCTCATTTTTAGGCATGACTCCATGACTTAGTGCATCTGCAGTCCATCCACCAATTGTAGCTCGCAGCTTACATAAGCATGAGTCAAGTTAGATAAGAAATGGATCCCTGAAAATGGCCTAATTTGTACGTGACTCAAAGTGGAACAGCACCATTTATCAGGGGTATGTGTCCAATTATCCTCTGATTAATAGGCATTCATTTCACTGAGTACATGACAGTGCAGCTACAATCCAATTACTCTGTGGAGAAGCAATGGAGAAATGAAATGAACCAGAGACTTACATTTACTCCATAAAAAAACAATTTGATCATTGGTGTCTGATTTCCATGGAGGGGTAAAAATAGAAACAGGAATGGGGTGTACGGTATGAAGATATAAGAGATGCAGCACAACACCATGAATCACAGCATCCCGGCATCTTAGTGTCATTCTTTGGCATGCTTGCCTTCTTTTTGTACCGATATATATATATTTCTTTTTGTTCAGGTAGATTGCACATAGGTGTGTATTTCGCGCTGTTAGATACGGGTTTATTAGCTGTCGGAGGTCTTACAGTATTTGGTACACAAGATAAGTAATGCAGTAGGGAGCAGGGCTGCACCTGAGCAGGATTGTGAGGAGACTGTATCAGCTTTGCACTGGGACTGGAGGATTTACACATCAAAGACCTGCTCATTAACAGAGGCTCGCTCCCAAAATTAGTTCTGTTACATCCTACAAAATGATTCGCCATCATCTCCTGAGAATGACATGCTTGTGTGTGTGTGTGTGTGTGTGTGTGTGTGTGTGTGAGAGTGAGAGTCTGTGTGTGTAGGCATTTACTTGTGTGTAGTTGCTGTAAGGGGTCAACTTTCTTATTTGGGATTTTCCTCTGCAGACATGGCAGCATGTGTCTCATTTCCTTGCAGGCATAGATAATGCTGCCTGATGAAAAACCAAGCAGTGGGTCTAGCATCACAGATTAGGAGAAGCCCCAGCGTACGTCTGGACAAATTGCATTCAGGATGAGAGCCAGTGGTTTGAGTCACTCTGCGCTGTCACTCTTTGTTTCAGCAGTACAAGCAGAGGAAGCTCTACATCACTTCAGTGCGGCCCACAATATCCTCTACATGATGGCCCTGGCCTTATGCATGGGGGCGTTGTCATATTGAAATAGGAAAGGGACTTCCCTGAACTGTTGTGGCAAAGTGTGACATCAAGGTTTCCCCTAATGGGAACTATAGCTGTGTTTCAGTGGGCTTTGTTAGTCTGTTGAAGTTGTGCTGACCTGCAGGAAGCTATGAACACGTTTCCACTCCCTCTCTGTACCAGGGGACAGTCGTGCTGAGATATGTTGTTACGGTCCCACTTGGTACCAGGGCGGACAACGGCCACCCCGGGATGGTCTCTGCCAATCAAATGAAGGGGCCCAGCATGTGTGAGTGTGTGCTGGTGACAAGAGAGGAGGCTCAACTGAATCTGTGTGGTGTTAAGTTTAGTTTTATTTCTACAGGCCTGCTAGTACATTAAGGTATTGGCCTGTTTACTGATCACAGTCAGGCAGATTGGAGCTGATGCAGAGGCAAACTGGACATGTACTGCTGCTGCTTCACATTAAAAGTTTCTAAGGGCAGGGGCATTCTGGTAGCATAGGGGGCAAGACATCAACCATGAACTGTCATTCACACCTTGCCAGGGACCTTTGTTGCATGTCTTTCCCCACCTCACTGTCCGCACATTTCCTGTTTTTTTTCCCTATTGTCACTTAAGTAAAAAAGGAGTTAAAATTCCCCAAATTTCTCTGTGAACCAGCTGGAGGCTTTTATTGTGGAGCAGCTGTAAGAATTGCGATTGTCTGTTGACATTTCTGTTCTTCAAAAAAATTGTTCTACACAACAAGATGTGGACGCATTCTGTGCTATTTGACCAGCAAATCAGTTTTGCTTTACATTGCACGCTGCCCTGTGGTAAAGCATTTGCA